TGATGATTAAATTTAACATATTTATATATATATATGTATATATATGATAAATTAGGATTTTAACCAATTATAAAATATGTGAAAGATATCATAATTATTTTGAAACTAATCATGTTATTAATTTTATTTTATTGATTTAATAAGATTATGGAGGATCATAGTTGGATGTATAGGCGTCGAACTCCACGGGGCGAGATATATAATGAGTTCTATAATGGAATGGAATATTTCCTTCAATTTGCATACAATAGCCTTGGTCTTCAATCGAATGATTTAATCAGATGTCATTGTACTAAATGTTTTAATTTACCGTTGATGACTCGGGAAATGGTATGGGACCATCTTATTAAGTATGGTTTTATGAATGCTTATTCTGTTTGGTGGGCACATGGTGAGACATTTGTTAATTCAGCAGATCCATGGTTTGTTACTAATCTGGGAGAATCATCACATAGCCAAGATACACACCATGATGAAAGAAATGACTTTCGTGAAATGGTGTATGATGCATTTTGTCCAGGGGATGATGATAATCGGGAAATAGAAGGTAATTTCCCCAATCAACATCTGGACGAGGAACCAAACAATCAAGCAAAGGCATTTTATGACTTGCTTCATGCATCCATAATTCCACTTTGTAGTTTTAAAAGAAATGAGACAGTGCTTAGCTGGCTTTCTTATATGTTGCATACAAAGACTACAAATAATATAACTGCTAATGATTTTAATGCCATTCTCAAAGGATGTAGGAGGTTGTTAAGTGCTGAAGATCAAGAAAAAATTCCTACAAACTTTCATAAAGTAAAAAAATATATGAAAGGGCTTGAGTTAGGTTATCTAAAATTGATGCTTATGTTAACAACTGCTTTTTATACTATGGGGAGCATACGAAAACATTGACTACATGTCCAATTTGTGGAGAAACGAGGTATAAACAGAGAAATCTAGGGAGGAATAGACAAAAGGACATTCCGAGGAATTCTCTTTGGCACTTGCCAATAATATCTCGCCTTCAAAGGCTATACATGTCTCGAAAAATAGCTGAGCACATGACATGGCATTTGAAATGTTGTGGTGATACGGATGAGATCATTCATCTCGCACAATCAGAAGCATGGAGATAGTTTGATCAAATACATCCTTCTTTTAAAAGAGAACCTCGTAATGTTCGATTAGGTCTTGCTACTGATGGTTTCAACCCATGGGCTGATTCTTCAACCTCCTGCTCTTGTTGGCTAGTTTTTTTTATTGTTTATAATTTGCCACCAAAAATGTACATGCGACCAGAGTTTACTTTTCTTACATTGGTCATTGTAGGTCCAAAAAGCTTAGGTAAAAATATCGATGTTTTCCTTCGACCATTAATTGAAGACTTGAAAATGTTATGGTCGACTGGTGTAGAAACATATGATAGTTATCATAAGCAAAACTTTATAATGCGGGCTATGTTGATGTGGACCATAACTGATTTTTCAGGTTATGGTATCGTGGCTGGTTGGAGCACTCATGGCCAATTGTCATGTCCTTACTGTATGGAGATGACACAATCTTTTTATCTCCAAAATGGTCAGAAACCATGTTTTCTTGATTGCCATCGTTAGTTTTTACCAGAATCACATTCTTTTAGATTTAATTAGAGTAATTTCTTGAAGGGTCGGGTTGAATTAGGCAGTCCCCCTCCTCGATTGGATGGTGTTTCAATGCGTTACCGAGTTGAAAACCTTTCTGATGTGTTGATTGGGAAACCCTTTGAAAACCAAACAATTGAGGGTTTTGGGAACATCCATAATTGGGTGAAAAGGTGCATTTTTTGGGAACTTCCTTATTGGCATGATAATCTTTTCGACATAATCTTGATGTAATGTACTGTGAGAAAAATTTCTTTGATAATATAATATACACTATTATGAATGACAATAAGACAAAAGACAATGGGCTTGTGAAACCTAATGCTAGTTATGCACTGACATTTGAAAAACAAAAGCTTCTATGTGCATGGCTAAAACAATTGCGCTTTCCAAATGGGTTTGCTTCTAACATATCAATATGTGTCAACTTGAATGAGTCCAAGTTGTTTGGGATGAAAAGTCATGATTGTCATGTTTTCATGCAATGACTAATTCCAGTTGCTTTTCGCGGTTTATTGCCATCTGATATTTGGGGTCCTTTGACCGACATTAGTAACTTCTTTCATTCACTTTGCTCCCCGATCATTAAAGTTACTGAGATGCAGAAGTGGGAGGCAAAGATTGTTGAAATAATTTGTAAGTTAGAAATAATATTCCCCTCAGCATTCTTTAATTCTATGAAACATATAGCAATTCATCTTCCATATGAGGCTAGAGTTGGTGGTCTTGTTCAATTTCGTTGGATGTACCATTTGAAAGGTAAAACATACAAAGAAATTGATAATTTTAAAACTTACTTTTGATTACTTTTTTAAAAATTAATCTTATCAATATTTCTTTTCAGGCGAATGCGCAAACTTAAGAGTACCATAGGGAATAAAAATCATATCGAGGTATTAATTGTTGAGGCATTTATATTATACAAGATATCCTACTTCTGCTCTCGTTATTTTGGGGATGATGTTGAGACAAGCTGGAATCAGCCTCCAAGGAACTATGGTGGCATTGGAACCAACGTCCCAAGTAAGTTATCCGTATTTTGTTCTCCTGGTGAATCAATAGCCCACTCACGTACACAATGTTTAACATTGAAGGAGAAAGATGCAGATGAACCATATGTCTTGCTAAATTGCAAGGAGGTTAATGTTTGGGTAACATAAGTTTTACTTCTTAGGAAAATAAGAACTACATGATGTTTAATAGCCTATATGATTTTCATAACGTTTTAATTAATAAATAAATGTTATTTTACAGTAAATTTGAGGAAGAAGTTGGTGCAAATTTGTCGCATGAACAACTACAAAGATTGCGAACAAATAATTTTGTTCAATGGTTTAAAAATATGGTAATAAATTGTTCTATATTATTTTCTCAAATTTTTAATTAAATATTAAATATTACTAAATTAAATTATTTTTCAAATATAAGTGTTTAGTAGACAATATGAAATCAATGAACAACTTATCCACCTTGCAGTTGGCCTGATCTTTGAAGTGAATGTTTATAATGGGTTCTATGTGAATGGCTTTAGATTTTTGATTGAAGAGTTTACTAGTAATAGAAAGACATATAACTGTGGTGTTTGTGTTAAAGGAACCACCATTAATTCTGCAGATGAAACTGATTATTATGGTGTCTTAAAAGAGGCGATCGAGTTATTATATTATGGACACTCAGGCCATCAAGAGACTATAATATTGTTTAATTGTGATTGGTATGACATGGACCGAGGATTACGTGTCAATGTTGAACACAGAATTGTTGATGTCAATCCAAGGTTTAAACTTTCAACGGGGGAGCCATTTTACCTTGCTAGTCAAGCACAACAAGTTTATTATACTCCATTTCCGGCAGCCACGGATAGAACTACCCGGGGATGGTTGGCAGCATGCAAAATGAAATCTAGACATCTAATTGAGACCTCATCTACCTCATCTTCAGGATAGGTTGATGATATTTTTCAAGATTATAACCCCTCCATAATGCAAGGCTTTTCATTAGCTATAGATTTAACTACATACCAATTACTTCAACTATGTGCAGAAGGTGTTACAAAAGTTAGGTTGATGCTAATACATCTGAAGAAGAGGAGGACTATGGAGAAGAAAAAGATTCAGAATCCTCAGAAAATAGTGATAATGTTGAGGATAATGATGATAGCGATGATAGTCATGATTAATTGAAACATTTGTATTGTTACTTATTAAATATATGTATTAAAATTTCTTTGTCTTATATTTATTGTTTTATCGAGTTATATATTTTTCATTTAAAATATAATCATTGTTTGATTGTTCTAAATTTGTTACTCATTATTTGTATAAATGTATTAATAACTATTTTGTTATTCATTTTTCAGGATGTCTGGAAATCCTGCAGGTTCAGCAAGTAGGAGATCTTCCTCCTCAGGATCACAAGAGCAATACAATCTTAATCACCCGCAGCTGTTTATTGATAGTGGCGTAACTCCGGATATATAGCAAACGATTGATTCATTAATGAATTATAATTTTGCACTTGATCATGAGAACGAGGGCCCTTCATCCTCGACGGGGAAAAAAGGACGGAGCATAAATTTAAAAGGAATACGCCCTCTAGAAAATAGAGAGAGTAGGAAATGGGTTAAACTCACTGATGATAAGCTCCAGTTTGCTGATCCAAACATCCTTCGGGCTATCACTTCACTATGGAAGTCATGTTTTGATGGCTCGTTTTTCACATACGAGCGTGTCCCCCAAAGCAAGATTGCTAAAATTCATAATTGTTTCAAGGTAAGATTAACTTTTAGCAAATTTAATAAAATGAATGGATTTAGAAATTTCTAATAAAAATAAATAATTTCATTACTAAACTAGAATATATATTTCTCAGACATATAATGTTATTCATTTCTTATTTTGCAAACATTTTACCAATGGGATCCTGCAGATAATCACCATGTGCGAGATGCATTCCTAAATTGTATGAAACATAGATTGAGTGACAATCTCAGGGATGAGAAGTTGAAATGGGACAAGAACTCAACCTATGTCCCATGTTGGATCCCAACTCATATATTACCTCAGTTGTTGACATATTGGGACTCTGATGAATATAAGAGGCTCAGTGCAAGGGGAGCAAAGAATAGGAGCTTTGGGGAAAGGGTGACTCACACCACTGGGTCCATTAGCTTTGGCATCCATGAGATGCGGATGGTAATCAAGCTTAATTAATAAAAAAATTTAATATATTAAATTTTATTTAACAATAAAGTGTGTCAATTTATACTAACCAATATATTGCATTATCAATATTTTGAAATATAGATT